TGGCCCAGTCTGCAGGAGCTTCACGGAGGAAAGGAGGGGCATAGAAACTCTGCTTCCCTCTCACCATTACCGGGTTTGAAAGAAGGTAGGAAAACAAGCTTCAAGTGCGACAGCAAATAGCAGCAGGCTATGGGCTTTGGCAGTGACTCAAGGATGATAACCCCTGGCCCTGCCTAAAGAAACGGGAGATCAAAAGCCCTATCAGCCTGAGCCTCCTGGAGAAAACAAAGCGTACCAAGCGAGAGGATTAATCAATTTTTACAATGTACATATCAATATTAGCAACGAGTAACAGCTTTCGTTACTTACATTTTTCTAAGAACCTCATTTATTTTACTGTCAAGAACTCCCCCCCCCCTTTAGTATAAATTTCAGTGCAATAAAATCGCAAATCAGGTGGCAGGATTCAATTTCTTGTTGCTCGTTCGTCAGGGAGAGAATTTAATTTGGATTTGTAGCATACCGTTTTTCAAACGGCTTTGAATTAAGTTTAAGACAATGGTCTAAGCACCTGGGGCAAAGGAACTGCATGGAAAAGAAAGAACATATTTTCAATAGTAAATGGCTGAAGCCTGGGGAATCGTCTGCCATCTGCTCTTCTCCATTCCATGGTTAAGGGAGAAAACAGCAAGCTTTCAGAAGATGAATGTTACAGCCGCTTAACAAAGACATTGCCTCATACTCAACACGTTTGCTTTTGCTTTTAAAGTCCCTGCTCCCTTTTGTCTACTTCAAATTAATCCATCAAGAAGAAACAGCCAGCTGTGAATAGCACTGTCTATAAGATCTCTGTGTAGATAGCAGCGTGTATTTCCTCCAGTACTATTGACACTTCAATTCTCTCTTTAATTCTCACCCTGGAACACCAGGGATGCAGCAGATCTGAATGGCTCTTTTCTGAGGCAAGAGGCAAAGCTAGTTTAGGTCAGAGCTAACAACCAGATCAGAGGCAAGAAGGATGTAAGTGCAGCAAACATCCAATTATGAAACGGTGCTGTTAACCTTTGGGACCAATTGGCTACCCAGACCTGGATCTTTTGTTTTCTCCTTAATTATCAGCAAATGGTTAATCAATAGTGTCTGTTTTTACTAAGTGGCAACCCATTAATGTTCCATGAAGTAGACCAGACACACACACACACACACAAATGTACACATGCAGGCTGGTTACAGATGGGAAAAGACTGCAGGGACTCCTAATTAGCATGATGACTGGAGTTGAATGCTCAGTTCTGAGGGGTATCAGGTTAGGAATGGTTGATCTCAACCTTGATTGCTTTGTCCCGCATCTATAAACCATGTGTTTTGCAAAACTGGTCAGATCCATAGGAAAATCCCCCAGAGCTCCCACAATGTCAGCTATGACCTTGTAGTTGCATGTTGCAAAAAGCAACATTTTGAATAATCCAGAGAGCCAGTTTTGTATAGTGGTTAAAGCATCAGGATAGAAATCCCGGAGTGTGAGTTCTAGTCCTGCCTTAGGCATAAGGCCAACTTGGTGACCTTGAACAGGCAAGGGCAAACCGCTTCTGAAAAACCTTGACAAGAAAGCTACAGAAATTTTTCCAGGCAGTCACCAAGAGTCAACACATATTTGATGGCGTGTGTGCGCATGTGCATACGCGTGCACACACACACACACAAATGATCCAGAAGTTCTGAGACCTCAAAAGAGAAAGGTATCGTCTATATGAATAGTGTACACTTGTTTGCACTGGTCCCACATTTTGTTTTTTTGTTGGAGAAACTAACTTTTTAAATATAAGTGAAAATCCGTCTGAATTTAGTTGGACTTATTTCCAAATAAGCATTTTTATAACTCACTGTGTATTGGAGGTGGATGGGCTGCCACTATTTCAAACAAATGATTTAGCTTCCACTGTAGTCTCTGAATACGGCAAAAGTTATGAAAGGTTTCCTAAAGATAAAGAACTTGTGTGTGTGTGTGTGTGTGTGTGTATGTGTGTGTTGTGGAAGCAGAGGAATCAACAATAGATTTAGGAAAGGCTGCCCTCTCTTTTCAGCTTTCAAAAACAGTTTAGCACAGAGATACTCAACAATGCAAACAAATAGTTTAAATAGTTTATTTATTTGGAAACATAGTGCTGAGAAGGTTTGTGGCTTAGGGTTCATTCTCACATTCTTCTAACCTCCAAGACCCCTTCCAACCCTGTTAGTCTGTTCTGTTCTTATGCACCTGGTTTCTACTGGGAGCCCAGCCATATAATGCCTGACTGGTAAAGGCATTCTCAGGCATTATGTGGTTTTACTGTTTTTTTGAATGAGTGCTACACCTGCCCTCTCCTGCACCATTTTCAATGTTTTATGTGGTATTTCTAGGTGCTGGACACCAGACAATCCTTGCCAGGCAGCACTATCATTCCCTCACAAAACTTGTCAATTCTGCTCTTCTGCACCTGTCCTCTGTACCTGTGACCTGTCAGTCATGTCATTTTTAAGAACCCTAATCTCATTTAAAAACAACAACAACCAGACTTACTGTCATACCGTAGTCACCAGCCATTTTTGAGCTGGCAAATTAAAAGGTGGCTAAACCCACTTGTCTGCACTTGTCTATCCCACCACATGAAGTGGCAGAATTCGTCAACAATCTTCTTTAACTTGGTTGACAGCAAAACTATGAAACCGCACCTCTGACTGGTTCATCACTGAAGTAGAATAAGGCTTAGTAATTGGGGTGATGCAATTTATGATTATATATTTTCTGCTAAGTCAGAGATTAGAGGATTGGACATTAATATGACTGTGAAGAAGAATCCTTAGTCATATGTGTGAACCTGCAAGACATGATTTTTCAGTCAACCATTAAGTAGCCCATTGTCTAATACAGTTGTGAACCTAGCTGTAGTCTCTCATAAGAGAGAAATAATTGTGACACTGACATCTAGGTGTACCCACTGGCATGATGTATGATCACAAAATAGTTGTCCACAGGTATATTTTAATAATGTGTCAAGCTATGGCTTACTCAATCATGTCTTCCTGAAAAAATTACAATTTGCTGAATTTGCATTAGACGTGAAGCCATAGACAATGGTTTGCAACCCACAGTGGCTGGAATCATATAATATGCTAAGCCTCACATAAGAAAACTGTATTATAGCATGATGTCTTATCTGAATCTAGCCTGTGCATAAATCTTTGTTTTCATTTTTTTATTTTTTGCATTTAATCATTATACATCAGCCACTCTGCTATCTACTAATTAAATAAATTCCTATTCAGCAAAAATCTACATTGGAGGGTATCTTTTATTAAGTCTTTTGTTATTCTTATTTAAAACATTAGCAATATATGTAATTAATTGCTTTATACTAAGTATACTCCCTTGAAGATAAGAAATGTTGGGATTCTGAAATGTACTCTTTTATGTAATTATTAAAGAGCCCATCCTTCTTTCAATCAATGGCAATGTAATTCACTCCCAATTTTTGTATTGTAAAGCCTTTGCAATGCAAAGAGAAAACAGTAAGTACTGCAACAAGAAGCAACAATCCAATCCACCCTAAAGTAAAATTTTAATATTCCATAAAGAATTTCTCACTTATTTGATATTCTCTGTGAGTTTACACAGTAAAGGCTCTTATCTTATGGCACTTTCAAGCCATCAAGTTTATTATGACATAACCTTACGTGGAATCTGTTTTAATCATTTATAGCCATTTTTTTTTACCCATATCCACTCTCAGCTATCAATAATCAAAAATTAAATATAATTTGGGTAGAATAAATTTTAAAAAATCAAAATCATTATTCCTAATTAAAAAAAGGGCCGACTGAATAGGAATGTCTTGATTCTCTTCCCAAAGACAGCCAAAGAATCCTATGTAGATATTGGGAAAAAATATTTCAAGGTTAAGCATGGGAAAAAGTGTCTGAAGCGTGAGAAAAGCAGCAGGGCAACAATAATTGAACGATAGAGTGCCAAAGAGGCTCTAACTTAAATGAAAAGAATCAAAATACTTGACACATTCTGATTTAATAGCGAATGAAGGATAAGAATTGACTGTTATCATAGTTGATAATTATTTGAGGGAATAAACTTGTTTAGGGGTTTAAAAGACTTTATAGATATAGAATGATGAAATGATAGAATATATCTTTAAAAATAGAAATGTACATTTTGGAATTATACTATTATTTTAAATATGATAACTATTTTGTAATAGAGAGAGAGTCTTTGTCTGATTTAATAATGAATGAAGGATGGGAAGTTCCTGATATTATAGTTGATAAGTATTTGAAGGTGTAAACTTTATTAAAGGGCTTAAAAAGATTTTTTTTATAGATATGGACTGATGAAATGATAGAATATATTTTTAAAAATAGAAATGTATCTGTTGGATTTATATTATTATTCTAAATATGGAATAGAGAGAGAGGAAGAACTACTTGTGATAGGGAAAAAATTAGTCTCAATGAATGATCTATCATTAAGGATACCTGAAATCCCAACTATATGTTTATTGAAATGTAACTGGAATATGACAATTGTAATTAGTAAAGTTTAAAAACAGGATATAGATTATTATAATCGCAAGGTGACTGAGGATTTTTGTTTGATTGATTTTTACCTAAAATTGTATTAATTTTAATAAGTAATATTATATTTAGGAAATAGAGAGGAAATTATTCATAATTAATTTGAGCTATATGTATATGATTTTGTCTTTGAATGATTCGACACCCTGACCACCACGGTATGTCCCAAGCTTTGTAAAAAATGAAAAAAAAACAATAAAACTTTTATTAAAAAAAATACTTGACACATTCTTGGCTGTTCGTGCTCTTGGGATTTAAAACCAAGTACAGTTTTTTAAAAGTCTGTCAGCTGTGATTTTTGTTTGTTTGTATTGGTAAAGTCTGATAGTCGACGGGAGTTAAAAACCATATCATCCTATCGCACAGTACTCTACGCATCTAAACCAAGTCTCTTTTTGAGCCACTCGCTTCACGTTTTAGAGAAATCAATAGACGTGTACCGCAGAATCTAGCCTGCTATTCCAGGCTGCTTTGCCAATGGCTGAAGCAGAATAGTAGGTGGAGCCACGTCGGTTTAAGAGACACGTGTACAGAGGAACCAGGAAGCGACTGCCGGAATTGGAATATCCGCTGTATTTTGCAACATCTGGGTGATCTTATTGAGTGTATGTAGTGAATTATTATTTTTAAATAGAATGGGTTATTATTTAAAAAAAAAAATCCAGGAGAATACATTGAAAACAAGCACCCAGGCAGACAAAATCCTTGTGGTATATTTTAGGAGGTTTTATCTTTAAAAAAAACCAAACAAACCGGGATTAGCACTGGGAAAAAATGATCTAACATTTTCTACTTGTCAATTTTATATCTTAGATTTTTTTTACGGATTGTTTTAAAAATGGACTGCAAATAGTTGTTTTTATATATATATATTATGGTGTGGCAAACAGACCTATTCATTCATTTTGGTGCCTTTCACGTTTATGGGTGCACAGAAATGAAAATGGTCCATATGGACAGATTAGATACAGCGTGATTAAAATAGAAGAAATCTTAACTGTTTGAAATTGTTAAATTGGCGACGATAAGATTATTATGGAACTTCATATAGACTGATTAAGTAACCTGGAATAGTGCCTCCTCGACCCTTCCCCAGGGTTGCAAGTTCTCAGATAAAAATCTTAAGAACCTTTTCGGGCAGAAATCGATGGTAGGAGAATGTTCTGTGACAGTTTCTTCTCCCTCCCCGTTGTAGCTATTCACTAACTTCCTTAATGAGAATTAATGCTTCACTTGAAAGGCAAAATTAATTTTCTTTCAATTCGGCCAATCATCTTAAATAATGCAAGTCAAAAACACAACCCAAAGATTAGGAACTCACCTGATGTGCCTTACAATGATTTATGGTTTAATACAAACCAGATACCTATGCTTGCTCATTAAATCATTATTAAAACAGCTCATGGTTTATTGTAATGTGTAAATTCAGCTAGAAATAAATCTTGGTTCGTGAAGGATTCACATGCTTAGAAAGAATTGCAAGAAGGCTAGAGATAGATTCAAAAGTTTTGACTCGTCCTACCAGATGGAGTATTACATGAGCAAACACCTGTTTGAATACGGTTAAAAGAATAGATAACTTTGGATATAAAGGGGCCGTACAATAAGAGGGATAAGAGCTATAAGTAATATAGTATTCTTCATAATATATGAAATGTAAAGATATTGGGATGATGTATGTGAATGAAAAGTTTGAAATCTAAAGGTAAATTAAGTTGAAAAGAACTAGGACTAAGGAATGACCGAAGTACTGAAGTGAAATTAAACTTAAATAAGACATTTTGAAAATAGGATATATAGTGATTTAACAAATTAACTTTTACAAATATAAGTGAAATATAAATAGATCAAAAAGATATTATAGGTAGATGTTATAAGATAGGTAAGCAGTATATTTTTACAACGCGTGAAATATGAAAACATTGGGATGGTGTACTTAAATGGAAAATCTGGATATTTAGATGATTAATATTGAGAAAATTATGACTGATAATGGTTTGAATATTAAGGGAAAATTAAGCTTAAATAAGAACTATGAAAATAGGATGCATGGTGAACTAATAAGATGATTTTTATAAAAAAATTAAGTTGGTAAGAAAAAATGTCATACATAGATGTTATTATTTGTACAAATATGAAAAAGGTTTATATTTATGCATTGAAAATATTAAGAATTATACTTGTTTAAGGTTGAAGGAGAATACTATTGGGAGAAGGGAAGATCAAAGATATATACTATTAATACACCAATTATGGAATTACAAAAATTAATTATTATTGACTGTTAATTAACTATTATTGATTGTTTTTCTCAAAATATATGAACCAGGGCAACACGCTATACACTAGTCACTGAGGATTGTTATTATAAAAAATTAATAAAACATTTTTTAAAAAAGAATTGAAACCACATTCCAATTTTATGAGGAATTGAAGGATGAGAGAAATTGTCCAAGGACCCACTCCTTATAATATTTCCTATATTGCTCAAGTTATCCTCCATTACAAGAATGGGTAATATTTTGGGTTGGGAATATTTGAAACTTTGAAGGCATGTGGTTATTGCTTTCATCTAATGGCTGCCATGAGAGGCCTCATAAAGAGCCGTGGTGGCGCAGTTGTTAGAATGCGGTATTTCAGGCTAATTCTGCTGACTGACAGCAGTTTGGCAGTTCAATTCCCATGGGCTCAAGGTTGACTCAGCCTTCCATCCTTCCGAGGTTGGTAAAATGAGGACAATATGTTGGGGGCAATATGCTATCTCTGTAAACCGCTTAGAGAGGGCTGTAAAGCACTGTGAAGCAGTATATAAGTCTAAATGCTATTGCTATTGATCTTTTCACTAAATGGCTCCTACATGGTGGATGTGGCCAATCACAAAATAGCAATTGACCAGAAAGCAAGCAGATAATATTGCTTCACCCCCCCCCCCCAACTTGGAGAGGCAGACACACTTCTATTGGAAACATGATTCTGCTTCCCTTTTTTTGTTTTCTAAAAATGTCTATAAAGCCAAAGTGGGTCCAGAGCCATATTGTAAATAAGGATGATTCTGAGGGATAGTGGTTTGCTCTAATGTTGGTTATATTTAATTACAAATATCTAATAATATATGAATAAACAGGCACTTTATGCATATATGATGATTATAGGTAACATATTGCCAACTTCAAGGAAACACTTTGAGGAGGAGACACAAATTAGATAACTTTATAGCTATAGACCAGGGGTGTCAAACTCAATTTCACTGAGGGCCGCATCAGCATTGCGGTTGCCCTTAGGGGGCTGGGTGGGTGCGGCCTACTGCGTGGGGGTGGATGGAGTGGGTGTGGCCTACTGGGTGGGCATGGCCAGCTCTACATCGTTCGCGTCAAGAGTGCCTGTGGGGGCCTGGGCAGGAGTGGGACAGATCTGAAGGTCTCTGGCAGAAGGGGGTGGGACCGCGGCAAGCACCAAGGCATGGTGCATTTCTTCATTCCTCACAAAGGGTGACACCTCCCCAGCATGCACCCAGGGGGCAGGGGCAACAGAGCAGGGGCTGGTTCCTCGCTGTTTCTAGACGGCCTTGTGGAGCTAAGACTGAATGCATTTCAGCATAGATGGCCACCACAAAATTGTACATTGGCTCCCGGCCAGCCTGGGCCAGGGCCAAGGCAGCGGGAGCCGTTCCCTCACTGTTTCCAGGATGGCTTCACGGGCCACATGAAACCACGTCACGGGCCGCATCTGGCCCCCGGGCCTTGTGTTTGACATGTCTGCTATAGACCAATAGACAAAATATATTTCTAAAATAAACTTAATTTTGATTGGCTCAAATTTTAGATTTTCTACCTAATGTTCTTTTCACATTTAGCAGGTCTTCAAATCCAGGATTACTCATTATGATACTTGGTTACAATCCAGTGTTGCAAGCACTGCTAGGAACCTTACTGACGTGGGGATTGACAGCTGCTGGCTCAGCACTTGTATTTATCTTTTCCAGTGGGCAGGTGAGTCCTAAACTTTTTTGGTGCAAATTTCAAAATTAGAGGATGAAAAATGTCATTTTCAACATTAGGTGTGATAAAAATGTGAGCGTGGAGTGTAAGTATGAATCTGATGATCATAAATACTAATTATGGCATGTGGGAGTTACGTGATATAGACGGAAAAAGAAATGAGCTTGGTATTAAAATATTATACCTTTCATTAATACTCTGCAACATTTAACTGAGATTGGCTAGAGATGCTTGTCTCTAGCTTTTGCATTTTTTTAGAAGAGTAAACCAAATTGCTACCACAGATAAATGAGTCTTCTGATATCATAAATTTGAAAGATTTATTATTACCTAGGTTTTACTAGAATAGATCCTTCTAAAACACTTTGAGAATTATATTTATGATATCCCAAACCATACTTACCAACTGTAGCAATTAGATTTTATTTTAAATACATGGCTATTGTGGCTATCTTTAACCCATGTCCTGACATCTGGAACTACCCTTGAAAGGTTTCAGGAATTTACAGTTGTTGCAAAAGGCAGTTGGCTAGGTTCCTAAACAGTGAAAGAGGTATGCTAAAATTGAAGGAGAAATTCCCTTTTTTGTGCTTCTTCTATTAGCCTGAATTTTGGTGGACAGAAGAACTAACCAGTATGTGTTTACAGTAGGTTTCCCTGGTTCATGCCCTTCAGATATACTGCTATTATAGGTCTCAGCATTCCCCGCCTGCGTGGTGGTACTAGATGAATATTTTAGGAATTGCAGAGGATATCAAAATGGGGAATAATGGTGCACTTTGAAGCTTGATGTCTTTGCTAAACAGAGACCAGATTTTTAACTCTGTATATTGAATGTTGTCTTAGTTTTACACAAGACTAACATACACTTAGACTGTTTTGTATATTATGGTAAGCTATAGTGCAATTTGTTCGTGCTTTTGGTCAGCTCAGTTGTTGTCTGCAAGCTATATTTTATGGCTTAGCATGTTGCACGAAGCCAGCAAATTAACATTTAATAAACTATGATTCAGCATCAAATATGAAATTAGTATATTGCTGCCGTATACAGTATCTCTTCTGACCATTTGTAATCTTACATTTGCAGAGACAAATCCTGGATGGAAGTCTAGGCTTTGCTGCTGGGGTATGTAATAACTTGATTTAATTTATAAATTAAAGCTGCTTAAGTTTGCTTTGACTTATCTGACCTCCCCATTGTCAATGGTGTTTTATCTGTTGGCATTGGGACTTCTGGCTGAAGTTCCATGAAGAATCACCTGTTCTGATTAGGTTTGGTGGTATCATGCCGCTTATCAACACTCTTCTCCCCTGCCTCCATAATTGGGTGGAGCCAAAGGTTAGGCCCTATTTGCATTTGTGAGTTGTCAGAAGGATAAAGGGAAAAATGGGTGCTTATATCTTACAAATAATACGCATTTCATCCCTTAAAACTCTTGAAGCTGCTTCCTTCTAAAAGTCTTGGGTCCTCTTCCCTCTCGTTATGGGTTTTTTGACATGTTGTCAGACTTGTGAGGTAGTCCAGACATGAGGCACATACATTTGAACTAATTCTACTTTGTTGTATGGTTAATAGAATTTTAGAAGTCTGAAAGTACATTTCTCCTCCCTCACCTTTACAGCCCATGAATCTATGGAGGGTTCCTTCTGAGATGTTTACCATGCCCACATACCTGCTGTGGGTTAAGTTGTCTTTTATCTAACTGTTCCCCTGCTATGGCTCTCTCCCTCGGCTCCCAAGGTGATTCCCACATACCATTATATCTGCCACCCAAAATCTAGCATTGTCTATTAGCCAACATTAATTGTACATCCTTGCCCTGGAGACAGATGGGACATGTGTCAGCATCCAGATGCTATGGATATCAGGAAAATGCTACCTGTAAAATGGAAATGATTTCTGAGATAAAAGTTATTTTGTTTGCATTTTTATTGTGTCTCTCTGACATTTTCAAAAGCAGAGTTTGATTTTTAATCTCTATATGCATTATCAAAGTCATCAGTTAGTATACCAGGTGATGTAACATTTTGGGGCATTTCAGGGATGGGATGGGGGTGGGTGAAGTTTCTCATTTTCCAGAAAAAAATGTGAAATGTATAGGACAGTGATGGCGAACCTTTTAGAGACCGAGTGCCCAACCCCTCCTGTCCCTGCTCTGCCCTGCCTGCTGGGTCACCCACTACCTCCACGGCCCACCACAGATCACCCAGGCAGCTCAGCAGCGCCATGGCGGCCACACCCTCCACCCATGCCCTGCAGCATCATCTGCCCGTGATGGGGCGCAAGGGCGGAGTCCTGTCCCCGCTGCCCTGTCCTTGGCTGTGCTGCTTCCCGTGGGCCGTACCCACGGGCGACTCTCCTCCGGGGGGCTGCTGGTGAGGGGGCCATGGGAGGAGGCAGGGCTGGGGCAATGGTGTGTGTGCCCACAGAGAGGGCTCCGAGTGCTGCCTCTGGCACGCGTGCCATAGGTTCACCACCACTGGTATAGGAAAAAATGGAAAAATGTGAAACATTTCTCTTATTAAATCTAGATTTTATTTTCTGCTTTAAAACAAAAATATAGAATTGAAGCAGAATATAACAAGATCAGGGAATCTTCAGTTCATAACAGAAGGTTGCATCTCTTTTTTTTCTAGATTTATGAAATGTAAGGCTAAATCCCCTGTATTTTAATAAGTAATATTTGTGCATATAGCCAATTCTGGAAATGGAATTGCGTGGTGCTAGATCTTGAGATATTTCATTTTGTAACATGGGAAAGAAAAGAATAAAATATTAGTAGGCAGAAGGGGGAATGACATTATTGTAACCAACTATAATCACATTTCTAGATTTAGGTGTATGTTGGTGGGTGACAGAAACATGTCATGGTTTTTATATTCTAATGAGTTTTTTTGTTTACTTAAAATTTATATTTCATACTTAATATTTATTATCCCACTGAGATATCTTTAGAGCTATTAAAAATACATACGTGATTTGGAAGCAAGTATTTCATGTTAATTCCTTAACTGTATGGGTGCGTTTGCACATTGTTCATTATTTACCAGCAGCATTTGTAATCCACTTCAATCCCAAAGGGTTTTGGCAGGCACAAAATATTTTAGAGCTAAAAAAAGAAACTCAAAAACACCCTCTCTCTAATTCAGACAAGTTGGGTGGTATAAACTATGTTTATTACTCTTTATTATTTATTACTCATACAAAATTGGCCATGTTAGTAAGAGAATGCTTGAAATCTGTGCTAGGACAATATTAGGGCTACTCTGTGGTTACAAAAAAAGGGATTTTTTGGAAATCCAGGGAAGGTGTTACAAAAGAGGAAGTTTGTGTGTGTGTTTGTGTGGGGAAGACATGAAGAGAGAGTGGCATGATATTTAAATCCTGACATCTGTAGAGTTGTAGTCTCAAGAAAAAATATTGGAGGATGATATGGATATTCACATTTAACTGCACCTCCTGTAGTAATTGGAGGTAGAACTGGACTCGTGACATGAAGAAAAAAAGCCCTTGCTAGATGAATTTAATTGTCATCAATACATAGGAAACTGGTTGTCTACAATTTCATAAAAAACTCCAATGTTCTGTGAAACTCCATTTAGTGTTACAAATGACAGTTGGGCATGTTTGATGTATTTCAGTTGTGTTGCTTAATGTATTTGAAAACACAAGGAATGTTGTCCAGCTGCCAGTTCAGGTAATTGTTTGGGAAATATATTAATTTCTCATCCAATATTTTTCAGTCAATAATTTAGTGCCACCCAAATGCTCTATAAACTAGGTGCAGCCAGTTGTACTGCAGAAGTTGGCCATCTGGAAATGAGTCAACAAAACACATTTCCAGACTGTTCTTTTTATTCAGTTTTTATTCTCTTTCTTTCTTCTTGAAATGTGTGTCTTTCTTCAAGCATATTCCAGCAACAGGAAAGTTATAGGTGGTCTTTGACTTACAATCACAATTGAGCCCAAAATTTCTGTTGTTAAGTGAGGTAGTTGTTAAGTGAATCTTATCCCATTTTATGACCTTTCTTGCCACAGTTGTTAAGTGAATCACTATAGTTGTTAAGTTAGTAAAACAGTTGTTAAGTCAATCTGGCTTCCACATTGACTTTGCTTCTCAGAAGATTGCAAAAGGTGATCACATGACCCCAGAATACTGCAACCGTCATAAATATGAGTCAGTTGCCAACCATCTGAATTTTGATCATGTGACCAAGGGGATGTTGCAATGATTGTAAGTGTGAAAACGGTCATAAGTCACTTTTTTCAGTGCTGTTGTAACTTTGGTCACTAAATGAACTGTTGTAAGTCGAGGACTACCTGTATTGTGATTCTAAGTATTGCAAAAAAAAATTTGCAATTAAAAGCAAGAACTAATATAAATAATAAATAACAAAATTAGAATCTGATTGCTATTATTTAGTCTTCTCTAGAGATGAAATGCTACTTCTGAAAGATAGGAATTAACCTTCCTGGATTTAGACATCGACAAAGAGAAGCAACTGTCAAAACATTCTTTGGACTCATTAAATCTAAGTGCAAAGAGGAAAACAAATCTTAAGCAATGCCAGCCTCTCAAATACAGACATGGAATTTTAAGAGAAGGTGCAAAACTGGATGATATGTGGTTTTGTGAATCCTGCTTATGTAACTCTACTCTTGTGTTTGTTTGCTTTTCTGAATAGAGATAGTAGATGTTCTTTGGTGTGTCATTAAGCCCTGGGTAATGTGATGACATCCTTGAAATCCTTTGGAAAGGAGCAAGGATTAGAAAGTTCTCCCTTGGTCCTGTTTCTTGGCACCATCCCATTTGGTTAGTAGATGGCATCTTTCCATTTTTCTTGTCATGGCAGATGCTTTGGGAAAGCATCTTTTCAAGTTCCTTTCAGACCTTTGGAGGCTGCTAACTGCTGAACCAGACAAGAATATGAATTCTAAGCCAAGGGCATCTGTGTGTATTCCTTGCTCAGATATGCCTAACTACTCTTTTTGGTCATTTTTGTGTAATGGTGTGAAGGACTATTAGCTTAAATGTTGCAAGTAAGTAGTCTTTTTGACAGAACTCTGTGTTTGCTTCAAGAGAACATTAACTGAAATGCCAGGGATGTTTGCAGCTGGGAGCTTTAAAACTAGATGATTGCAGCAGGAAACAACTTCTTTTAAAGTCATGATAATGGTTAACTCAATTAACAAATCTCTTGCAAAGATAGGCAGGCATACAAATTAAATGAATGAATGAATGAATGAGTATTCCTGATTGGAGAAATGGGGTGGAAGTGAAAAACCTTTGGTCAAGATACACCCTTGAGTCCTCAATCTTTTTTTCCAATGAGCACACTGTGAATTTTCAGTTCTTCCACAAAGGGAGGGGCTTTTCCATCCCCAAATGGCTGTCATGACCAAATGTAAAACAATAAGCCAAGTGGGACATTGATCAACAAGGACATTAAGGGCAGAAAATCCCATGTTGGGAACTCTATACTCCAGGTATCCAGAATTGTGAGAGAATCTTCTTGTCAACTAGGAATACCTCCATATCCCTGTACCTTCCAGTTGTGTTGGATGCTATTATCCACTTGCAAATCCCCCTGCCCCAGTCCTTGTATAGCGGGAAAGGCTACTAGAGAAGAATGAGGTGAAATAAACTTGGAATCTCTGACAGCAATGTTACCTTGTGTATGTGTGGGGAGAACCATATGTGTGGTGCTTCTCATCTGTGATATACAGTATCTCAATTTGATTTTCAGAGCAGCAGGGAATGGGATTGCAGAAAACACCTCCCGCTCTGAAACAGCTAATTAGTTGTATTTCTCAGTTCTCTGACATGTACAGGGCCGGCATTGTTGTTTCTCTGCCTTGCCTTGTAAACACATTGTTTAGCACCATGTACACATTTTAAAAGTTAAACTATTTTACTGCATTCATTTTTTTTAATGTTTGGAGGAGATAAATCTTGAGTAACATCTTATGAAAAACTATAGTAAATGTACCCATGTTTTATTGAGAGCTAGTTTAGTGTAGTGGCCAGGTGCTAGGCTAAAGACTGAAAGACCCTGGGTTTTTGGCATGAAAGCCAGCTAGGTATAAGATAAGATCAGTCAAGAGTAAACTAAGCATCATGGGC